TGAAGCATTTGCGCGCGCAAAAGCTCGATTGCGTGCTCAAAAGCGTCAGCTGGAAAGCGACTTTCATTAAAACACGCGCGTTTTTGAATGTTGGATTTAAACACGCTGAGGAGTACTTTAAATAAGTGAAATAGGTTATCAATTAAAAAAAAAATCTTTCACTTGTGCACACAAGAGTAATTTTTTTTTTTTGGCATGGGTCCCCATAAAATTCAAAAATACCACAATCTATCGAAAATCTTCACTGGAGAAATAATATTTAAACTCGAAAATACAAAATTTTGCAAAACTCAACAAACCCAAATAAACAACGATCATGGCGTCCTCTTTTAGATCCTTTGTCAAATACACTCCACCTGTCATTTGGGTAACTATGACGTCATGAATCGTAGTATGTGTAGTATGATGTTGACTGCTCGCTAAAATACGTCTACATTATTTCTTCTGTGAAAACAGACCGAAAATCATCTTTTCTACATTTAAAATCGACGACGAACATTCCATCGAGGTCTGCGGGTGACGTCATTACTATAAGCAGCTGGTCGTGACGTCACTCGTAGGCCCAAAATTTACTGGGGAGGGAGTTAGGGGAGTATGATACAATTGACACATGCAGCCAATGAACTAAACAAACACACTGGAACGGTAGCTGCATAATGTTTTTACGCAAGGGCTTGTGCCAGGAAGGACAACAAACAGGAGGAATTTGCATCTCTCTCTGCACTATGGGCAGCTATTGAGGTTAGGAAGATGAAGAAGCTCTTCTTTCTTTTACGTTAGTCGCAATGAGTGCGACCGAAGCAACAATCCTTCTGTATTGCTGGGTTGCATAAATGAAAATTCGGCACACTAGCATAGAGCAGTGCGCCCGTTCCAGAGTGTCGCATGCAGTAAATAAAATCTGTTTTTTTTTTAAAGATAATTCCACAAGTCAAAAATTTAGTAACTATGTTGGCAGCACAAGCCTTTTCTACATAAAAATTTGAAAGCATTGACAATTTTACATTGTATTGCCAACATAATGTCATTTTGACTTTTATCTTTAAAAAAAAAACAGACTTTACTGTATTTCTTTTACCCGTTGAGCTACTCGGAGCTGCTCAATGTCAAAAGCTTGAACGTTCCTTTTAAAAGTGCGTTGAGCACTCGAGTCGCTCATAGTGCATCTGCCTTTCCCCTGATTCATCAAATTTGCGGGGGATGCAAGAAGCCCTTTTAGGTAATGGTCTTATGGTAATGTTAAAAAATAATGATAATTATCTGAATTGTGTGTTTTGGAGTGACTCCGAGGACCAGGAGCTCTAGAGCGACACGTTCGGTGTAATTCGATGTTTAGCCCGGGCGCAAGTCCATGTGCTGGCAAGTCGCCCGACGTTATCTTTCATCAAACTGAACGCTGACAAATTTCACTCGACGTTGAAAGTGAACGATATTCGGCGCGTCCGACGTTCAAAGTGAACGCGCCCCGGTATTCAGTCAAGTATCTAACTAGATTTAGGCCGGATTTTCATGCATCCGTTTTCCGACGAAATATGTCCGAAAAATCTTCTATTTTGACATATTTTTATACGATTATGTCAGAATAGAATATTTTCCGGACATCTTTCGTCGGACAAACGGATGCATGAAAATCCACCCTTACTCCCTAGTGCTTAAAAATAAAAGGAATACAGTGAAAAATGCTTGATTATCCTCCCGAAAAATTTCCTAATCTGACTAAGGGCCGATCTATTCACCTTCTGATAAACTGTCTGGCATGCAATCTGAGAGATAAAAACGCTCTGTAATCTCTAATCCCATTGGTTGGCCAGTTATCCGCCGACTTATCGACCAAAACAATTATAGAAGTTACCAGCAAGTTTATCTGAAGATAAATAAACCGTCCCTAAATCTGAGAGAAGTAGATTTAGGCCCGGCTTATTCATCTTCAGATTAACTCGCTGGTAACTATCTGCAAGACAAATTCACCATTCTATATAATTATAAGCCGGCCAATGGGATTACAGATTGCGTCTGTATGCTCCAGATTGCATACTTGACCCGACAGTTTATCAGAAGGTGAATAAACCGGGCCTCAAATGAAAAAACTGACAAGAATGACAGGAGTGTAATTTACCCAGCGGCAGAGATGAGGCGATTTCGCCTCAGTTTGGTACCGGTACTCCAGTTTGGTCAGTCAAACAGGTAACAGGTACCAATCCTTCTGGATGGGAGAATGATGTCGTCACTCGTCATGTCAATTTTGGTAGACGCTTCACGCTTCGGTCTGTCAAATGATATACCGCGGTTTGTAACTGGGTAGTGGAGGTTTGGTAGCTTTTTGTCTCACTTTAGCTGAGTTCGGCTTTGCACTCCACGGAGCGGAACGGTATGAGCATTGATATCGTGACGTCATATGCGGTCATACGCCCATCACAAAAGAGGACACTCTGAGAGCTAAAACGAACAGAATCTTATTGTTTGGAGCGCGCTCAGAGTTTACAGAGTGAACTCAGCCTTTGCTTGGGCTAGGAAAGAGTGCCACTAAGTAACATCTCGGATATTTTTGAACTACTTTAGCTTGAAAGTCAACCGGAGTGTATACCAGGGACCCGATTGCGAACGTCCGATACGAACCGAATCCTCCAATTTTTTCCGAATAGAGGTTATGAACGTACTCGAAGCGAGAAAACTCGGATCGAGAACCATTCCGTAGCTTCCGACACTGTTGACGGAATCGTTTTATTTCCTTCTTGCACACACACTTGTTTTGGTTTTGTTCTTGTTTTTCTTGTTATGCCATTATTGCCATTAGGTATTCGGGTGCGACGGGTGCGTTTTGCTTCGTTTTGTTTTTCTTGTGTTTTTATCTATGGTTTTTATTAAAATATATTCGTACATACATGCGAGCATCCATTTCTAAATATCAAAATATAAAGCGAAAGATGGTTGCAATCTTTAGATATTCATAATCATAATCCATAAAAACACTGCAAGTTTCCCATCAATTCCATGCATTCAATGATGAATGATGCATTTACCATCGTCACCAAAAGTAACTGGGACAGCATCATATTAGCTCTGGTACTATTATATGAATTTTATTGTCAAATATTTGTCAAACTATGAATTGACCTTTTGTTTGGACGCCATATTGCGGTGCGCGAACATAGTTGCCAAAAGAAGAAAACAAAAATTACTAGCGGGCTGTCAACATTAAAAACAAAAGTAACTAAATGATTGATCCTCGCTATCCTTTTTATTTGTTTACTTTCTCTCTCTGATTGGTGAAAGTAATTAGGTACATATTTTATTATTTCTATTCTGCCCAATACAAACTAAAATTGATGGCTTTTCTTTTCAAAAACATTCATATCAGGCGGCAAATTTAAATTTTAAATGTAATTTATTCAGTAACTTTTGTTTTTAATGTTGACACTACGCTAGTAATTTTTTTTTTCCTACTATTGGCAACTATGTTCGCGCACCGCAACATGGCGTCCAAACAAAAGGTCAATTAAATGCATTGAAATGAATGACAGTAGAATTAGTCCAGGAGATCATTAGGCATTATTTTTGTCCCAGGTACTTTTGGTGACGATGGTACATAGTAATCGCAACAATAAAGGACTGCAGCTGACGTCACCTCCAGCGAGAGGTTTCCCATTCTACCATTGTAATCGCGGACAGCTGATTAAAGCCGATTCGTGTGTTCGTAATCGCTTTTCCGTTCAATACGATGCGTATGCGCTGCGAGTTTACCTTCGACTCGGAATCTTTCCGTATCGGATGTTCATAATCCGGCCGCGGTTCATTTTTAAACGGTTGGAGTGCGTTTAGAAATGGAGTGTGAAGGTAGAGTAGTTGTTTTTCAGGGGCGAGTTCAGGAATGACACACCCAGTGTGACTGTGACACCGGTGCGACGCCCTAGCTGTTCAATAATGCTAGACGGTGCTATGGGCCCAATGGCCAATTGTCAATTCAGGCACACCCATAAAATCGCACTCGCACCCTGTGCGTTATTTCTGCACTCGGCCCTGAGTGTCCTGACGTCATCACTTGAAGTGCACTCTGGGTGCGCCTTTTTTGAACGTAATTGGGGTGTTGCGCTAAATGTCAACGTCAAACCCGGTAAAAACCTCGGGGGTGCGTTCAAGGACGGCAATGCTATTGCCAATATCTACTTTTCCCCCTCCACCGGTAATGCCGAACCACGTAGGTTGGAGCCGAACTTGAACGCAAAATGCCAATTTTGGCTTGGCTGTAGCCATTCCTGAACGCAGCCCGGGGCGTTTTTCAACCCAGTCCCTGAGTGGGGTAATTTGGGCGCACTCTGGGCACGTCAACTCTCGATTTCTGAACGGTTCCAGCGTAACGCTCCGAGTAAGCACCTGTTAATTTATGAGCGGTTTAGAGTTACTCTAGGTCACTCTCACACTCAGAGTGCTATTTCTAAACGCAACCTTGGTGTGCACTCGGTGTGACGCCTAAACTGATTTCGAACGCACTCCGCTGATGTACACGCTGTCGCCTGTCATTTACCTTCACCTACAACCCTTTTCACGTGGCTCCGGTTTAACAAACTGCAACATACCGCTCAAATTCGAGTGGTAGGTATCCATCACGTCACTTTGTAACCGGGTTAGAAAACGGTATGTCATTTCTCTAACCGTTTTGTAACCCGGTTAGTTAAACCAGAGCCACGTGAAAAGAACTAATAACCCTTTTCACGTGGCTCCGATTTAACAAACCGCAACATACCGCTCAAATTCGAGTGGTAGGTATCCATCACGCCATCGTCAATTTGTAACCGGGTTAAAAAACGGTATGTCATTTCTCTAACCGTTTTGTAAACCGGTTAGTTAAACCGGAGCCACGTGAAAAGAACTAATGATTTGCGTGCTCTAACCTCGAAATAGTCGAAATCCAACAACCAAAATTTTGCTCAAAATATGTTTTGTATCAAGTTCACGTTCTCAAACCAAACATAAAACCAACTAAATAATTCTGTTACTGTTAGCTGCTCTCTATATTATGGATGATGGAAAACGAGAAAATAATAAAACAAAAAAGCCCAGAAGTGAAAATGTTAAAATTGTTCTGTCAACATATTTACATAGAAGGCAGTTTCCAAGTCCAAAACCAATGCTTATTTCGAAGCTGACAGCATTAAAAAACATGAATTTGAATACCCGGATACGTCGACAAAATTCCATAGTATATAATTTCATCAGTGATTGTGAACCTTTGCAGACAGAGTACAGTTTTGTGTTTCAACAGTTTACGCTATGGCTCAAAGATCAAATAAGGAAATCTCCGCAGTGTCAAGATCTAGAAATACTTGTGGGCCCTCTTTTTTGTCATTTCTACTTTGACATTAGAAGTAGTGGAAAGACTCATGAAGCTGTTTCTTCAAGTAACTCATTTTTCAAAGCCCATATTGATAAAGTAGATCAAACTAAATGCAATGACATAGTTAAAGGAATACTGAGAGCGGTAAGTGCTGCTTCAGAAAATATTATTTTAAATGGGTCAGATTGCCCAAGCTTTGATGAGTTGAAAGAAAAATTTAGATCCAGTAAAATCAGGGTTCACCTCAAACCAGAATCCTTAACATTGCTTAAGAATTTTGTAGCAGCTAGCTTACATATCGAATCAGATATATTAATACTTCAATCTCTTAAATCTTGGTTTGATTTCCACATTATTTCCAAAAGTTGTAATGGATTTGATAGTCAATTAGTCACAGCAGAAGATATTATGACACATGTGGATTCAGTTACCTTTGCAATGCTTCAGGACCTTAAAGATCAGCTGCATCCATATATCAATTTTGACGACAAGGAAAATGCTGTAGAGGATAGTGTTACAAGTACAGATGAAAAAATTCTCCCATTGCTAACTGATGGAAATTCACAGCCTAAAAACCAAAACAAAAATGTATTAGAAAAATTAAATAACATAATTGATAAGGCTAGAAAAGTACCACCAAGTTTTTGTAATATGAGAATAATGAATTCAAAAAGTTTTGTGACATGTGGGCTTTTAAGAAGGCGTGCCAACTTAGTAATATTTGCTGAAAATAATGTTTTACGAGTATGTCCTTCACAGGTTCTCTCATTAGTTGCTGAAACTAATGAATTACAAGTATTTCCTTCTCAGGTACTTTCAGATTCTGTTTATGATATAGAGAAATTGGATCATATTAGATTTATTGATCATTCAAAGCAAATTTATTCAATTGCATTATGTCCAAGAAATGATATAATTTGCACAGGCTCAGCAGATTGTAGCATATGTGTATATAGTCTTAGCCAGCTGAAATTTCTTGGGAGACTATCAGGACATTCAGGTACTGTGTATTGTGTAGCAATAAGTGATAATTTAAAGTATATTGCGTCTGGTTCCCATGATACTACAGTCAGGCTGTGGGATTTAAAAACTGGTAAACTATTGCGACTTTTCGCTGGACATATAGAAGCAGTTATTTGTATTCATTTTCATCCAAATTCTCTGTATTTGGCATCAGGTTCAGCAGATAAAAATGTTAGAATGTGGTGCATTAATTCAGGGAGCTCAGTACGAATGCTGCATGCATCCAAGAAAGATGTATATGCAGTAGCTTTCTCACCCAATGGCCTGTTGATTGCCTGTGCTAGTGATGACAAAAAAGTAAGAGTGTGGGATATATCTACCTCTAAAATTGTACATGAATTTAAAAATAAAGAATCTTCAGTTATTCATTTATTGTGGAGTGATAACTCTCAAAAGTTGTGTGGCGGGACCGTTTCTGGTGTAGTGAAAATCTGGGAACTAAGAGATAAAGATCAGGCAAAAGAAAATAAACATTCTGATTCAATAATAAGAAGACGCGTTTGTGGATATTTGCTTGGCTTAGATTGCTCAGTGGGAAATTGGACTTGTTTGTCAGTTCCAAAAAATTCGCCTTTTGAATGCCTCGATTGACAGAAATTGATGGACATCAGTAGTCAGCAGGAGTCATAGAACATTATAGTCTGATAAATTATTAGGTATAGACAGTTTTTTGAGGTCAACCATTGGAATTTCAGAAAAGCGAGGGGTGTCTCATGCTCTTAAATTTTGTAAGTACACCTATTTCCTTTTTAGAAATGTTTTTTTTAATATGTCCCATAATTTCCGAAATTTCCTGAATATTTTTATTTAAGTATTTCCTATAATTTCTAAAATTTCCTAAATAATTTATGAAACTTCCTCAATTCCCCAAATAATTACTGATTTCTTATGAAATTTCGGACATTTCCGAAACAAAAATTGATAATTTTTAAAAAATTCTGAGAGAATTTCATACATCTGTCAAAACTGGTATTCCAACAATAAATTGACATGTTTTGATTGTTGATTTGAACCAATCAGATTGTAATTATGCGATAATTTGCACTAGTGCAAATTATCAGATAATTGCATACTAACTGGTGCGAAAACTGGTGTTTTGACATTTTTTTAAATTCTTGATTTATGAAATTCTCTCATTAAATACAACTCGTGCAATGGAAATATATTTTTAATTTTCGACAAAAATTTGCACTCATGCGTTTTTAACTGAAAAAGGCACTCGTGCTCTTTTTCAACTAAAAATGCATTCAGGCAAATTTCCCAAAAATTATCAATAATTTCCATTGCACTATAGTCCGTTGCATGGTTCTTGACCTATGGCTACTGAATAGACAGAGGGGGCAATGGGCTATTGCTGCGTTGTCAGTTGTCATATCGATAATATTTATTAATACATGAAAATTGCAATAAAATTTCCTTCATTTTCATGTAATAATAAATATTATTATTGATATGACAACGCAGCAATAGCCCATTGTTCTTTCTGTCTATTCAGTAGTCGTAGCTCAAGAACCGTGCAACGGACTATAGTTATATTACTATTGAGAATTTTAATTTCTCCCCAAAATTTCCAAATATCTTTACAATATTCACTGTAGTTTTATAAAGTGTACTTTTTCCCAAGATGGATTTTGACATTGGAAACTTTGAAGGGCTTGGTCCTGATTGGTCGCAAAATTCCCTGTTCCTGCAGGTTGGAATCAGTTTTACAATGCATGATGTGTTGCAAATCTTGCAACCAATATGCGGCCTTGTTTATGTTTCAAAGTTGACAGTGTCAAAATCTATCTTGGGAAAAAATACAGTTTAGAAATGAACATTTATTTGCTGAAATATGTACAGGCGAGTGGTGATTAACTCCTTAAAATACCTACACAGATTTTAAATCTTCATTGATTTTGTAGGATTTTGAAAAACTTAACATGATTTTACAGGATTTAAAAAAATTTTAGCTGATTTTGGAGCATTTTAGGAAAGTTAGAAGGGTTTTTAGAGATCCTAAAGGATTTTTAGAGATTCTAACGGATTTTTGGGGAACCCAAAGGATTTTTGAAAATGTCAAAGGAATTTTTTTATTAGGAATTTTATAGGATTTTGCTGGATTTTTTTTGTACCAATAAAATTTTGTTAGATTTTTAAAGATTTTCAGGGATTTTAAGTAGATCTTACGAGTTTTTCTGGGATTTTGACTAACTTGTATACAAATTTTCATCAATTACTTAACCTCTCGAAGTTTAGATAACTCCATAAAATTTGTACAGGGTATTTGCGAGGGTATTTGATTATATTTGGACCCATACCTACAGCCTATATTTTCATTTAACGGTATCGGAAATAACAAAATCGCATCGAAAAATAGAGAAACGTAGGCAACTTCGACTTTTTTTGATGGAACACCATGTATATTATAATATTGTGCAATAAAATGAAGGATCTTTTCTTCCTGATTCGAAATACATATACAGGGTGTCCCACAATCAACGTTACAGGCCATAACTTTCTTATTTTCAAAAATAAAAATTTGAAACAAAAAAAATTATTAATGGCTAATTAAGCTCTCTTCAAAAATATTAAAAAATCATCCCTTGAAAAAATCATCCCTTATTTACAACCCTTGACTTTTTTTTTTCAAATGGCACCCCTATTATTTTTTTTTTATTTTTGAGAAGCTTATGAAATTACAAATTTGTATGGTGTATAAAAAGTTTGTTTTTCCATGTCTCTTGGGAGAAAAAAATGGGTGTCCCACCCTTAGTCTTATACAGGCAATTACATTTTTGTCTACAAAAATATAAATATTAATTGTGTGCAAATTACCCCTTTTCAAGAATATTAAAAAAATCTTCCCTAACAAACTCATCCCCTAAAAACAACTCTTGCCTTTTTTTTCAAATAGAACCCCATTATTATTATTTTCATTTTTGATTTTTTTTTCCAACGAAACATGGAAAAAAAAACTTTTCCTACTTTATTAAATTTGCAATTTCATGAACTTCTCAAAAAAAAAAAAAAATTAGGGGTGCCATTTGAAAAAAAAAGTGAAGGGTTGTAAATAGGGGATGATTTTGTCAGGGGAAGATTTTTTTATATTTTTGAAGAGAGCTTAAGTAATTAACCCTCGAATTAACCATTAGTCATTTTTTTTTTCAAATTTTTATTTCTAAAAATAAGAAAGTTATGGCCTGTAACGCTGATTGTGAGACACCCTGTATATTGATCACTTTCGGGTGAGCCGTTTTTCAGATATCTTAGCCTAAATTATAAATAAAATCCTCGATAAAATCCAAAGAAATTTTATAAGGATTTGAATGTGTTATTGACATCCTTATGAAATTTCTTTGCAAATTATTTAAAATTTAAGCTAAAATATGTCAAAAACGTCTCACTCAAATGTGATCAATATATACAGGGTGGAATTTTTTATATGGAATAAAATTAGTATCAGAAAGCCTATTTATTTTCTGGAAAAATTAAAAAAAAACGGGTCCCTTTATTTTTAGCTTGATTTTTAGTTTGGCACATTTTTTCGGCCTTTTCATTGAATTTACCCCCATCTTAAGGGTAGAAACCACCCCCAACTTTTTTTTCAAATGTAAAGATATGTATTGTGATAACTCATTGGAATGGGCATAAAAAAAGGAATATGACCCATTATTTACTTTTGCATTTCGGTGATCTAGTTATGTAATTATTTTTGACATTACTACACTATTTTAGGGTTGAAAATCTGAGTATCAGGCATCAAATAGTGTGTAACGTCAGAAATAATAATAATAATAATAATAATAATAATACTAATAATAATAATAATAATAATAATAATGTCTTTATTTGTAAATTACGAGTCTTTACAAAAAGGCGAAGTTGAAGCTAAGCTTCCTTACTTAACCTACATTAAATTTAGCTTACATAACATTGTGTTTTACAATGTAATTACATAACGTTAGAAATGGGGCTTGTTTCGCATTAGGGTTCTACCAAGAAGAAATGCTGAAGATATTCAACAATTTTAACTGTAAAAAAATTGTGTGGAAACAATATGTTATCTATTACAAATTTTCAATGTTGACAATTAGTGGCAACACGGTCAAATTGCGAGCTGCGACGTCATAGGAATAAATTCTGGGTTTTTATTTGGAGGTATTTCTTTTTTTTTCTGTTTTCTCAAGAAGGACTATGAATTTTTCAGAAGTAAAAATACAGAAAATTCTGTTTTTAGTTGCTTTATCCAAATATGCCAATTTCAAACATAAGTGAAAGAGCCCATTTCTACACATATGACTTCATCGTGATCTGCGTTACTTTTTTCGTCAATATCCTGATGATCTTCTTCAGGTTCTGTGTGATCATAAATTATTAGAACATTATTTTTATTAATAGGACGGCGGCCAAGCGCGCAAAAGCCTTCGTTTTAAGGAGCAACCCGGTATTGAGGTATAATTTATTAAGACTAGTACCAGATGATTCAGCATATTTTTCTGCATATAAAATGAAAATGGACGACTTTTTGCATTGGTCGAGAGCTAAGTTAGGAGCAAAAAACTAAAAATATACGGAAACTAAAATTTCCAACTTTAACCTCGTAGAACATCTAAACCGCTTGAGATAATGAAATTATTTTTGCTCTAGATTCTAGACAAATATATTCTCTTTAATATGGTGTATACAGGGTGTATATTTTAAGTGATACCACTATTGCTATATCCGAAACGATAAGAGCTACAAGGTCGGTTAAATTAGAAAAAAGTTGCCTTTTTTGATGCCCATTCCAGATTTGTTCACAGTGTTGCCAAATTCCTTTTAGTTCATGAAATACAGGGTGATTTCCAAAAAACGCTCAAAATTATTTCATCAATTATTTCGAAAACTATTGATATTCGAGAGACCATTTAAATTTGAAAGTTTTATAATTTTTTTTGCTCTACAACATGGCATCTTCAAATTTTGAATCCGACGTTTCGTGATCGAGCTACCATCATCAACTACATTTTTTTAAATACGGACCTGGATTTTTTATGTCATTTTTAGAAAGAGAATGAAGGGCGCTTTCCAAAAATGCAATAAAAAAATTCATATCCGTATTTAAAAAAATGAAGTTGATGATGGTGGCTTGATCACGAAACATAGGATTTGAAATTTGAAGACGCTATGTTGTAGAGCGGAAAAAATTATAAAACTTTCAAATTTAAATTGTGTCTTGAAAATCAATAGATTCCGAAATAATTGATGACATATTTTTGGACGTTTCTTAGAGATCACCCTGTATTTCATAAACCTAAGGAAATTTGGCAACACAGTTAACAAATCTTGAATATGCATCAAAAAAGGCAGCTTTTTTCTAATTTAACCGACCTTGTAGCTCTTACCGTTTGGGATATAGCAACAGTGGTATCACTTAAAATATACACCCTGTATATTGTTCGA